GGTGGAAAGAGTAAAAGGAGAAAAACAATGTTTTATATATTTAATATATGTATTTAAAATATGGTTCAATATGCTTTTTGAAAGAATTTTAAGAATTGTTTAAACTAAAAACTTTGTAACTTAAATGTACACTGGTTTGCTTGCCAAATTGCTTTTATTTAGTGTACTGTTATCTTTTATTTTTCTAGAATGTTAATAGGTTTACTTGGGAAGTGTCCCAGAAATTCTGATGAAAAAAGTACAGCAAGATCAAAATCTTGGTAATTAGTAGCAAATATACACTGCTTTGAACTTATAAACTTTTATATCAAGCATATGAGGTCACACACACAAAATATATTTTAAATATCCAAATACTTTAATGTACATTCATGTATATATACATTAAACAATCATGTTGTTTTTTTTTTTTTATTTTTTAAAAAAAAAATTTTTTTTTCAACGTTTATTTATTTTTTTGGGACAGAGAGAGACAGAGCATGAACGGGGGAGGGGCAGAGAGAGAGGGAGACACAGAATCGGAAACAGGCTCCAGGCTCTGAGCCATCAGCCCAGAGCCCGACGCGGGGCTCGAACTCACGGACCGCGAGATCATAACCTGGCTGAAGTCGGACGCTTAACTGACTGCGCCACCCAGGCGCTCCTAAACAATCATGTTTTTAACCAATAAAAACAAAATTCCTCATGACATTTAAAATTAAGCAATTTTGTGCTATTTTTTATAGTAAGGGAAGACTGGTGACCCAGATCCCTTTGCTGATTTTACACTTAAAACTGCTGAATCAGAGCTTACACAAAAATTTATATATTTATAAACTTACACCACATTTTTCTAAGATACACAAATGTTCTTTATGTGGCTTCAGGGAGGTTCAGTTACATAAATACAGTGCAGTGGTAAATTGCTGACCCAAACAAACATATTTAAAACAAAAAATATTTCTGGTAGTTACTGTGAAATATGTAAACATGCTGCATACCCAATAATATACTAGACTCCAAATTTTGAAAACCTTCCTATAATAAATACATAGAAATTACTGTTAAAAGAATACCATCTAGCCCTGTTATGGTGCTAATTATTTGCCAAGTAGTGTTTCAAGTGCTTTACATAGTGCTCTATAGAATTGACATCCCCATCATGCCCATTTCACAGAGAAGAAACATCTTTTTTCTTTTTTTTAAATTAACTTTAAAAAAAAATTTTTTTTTAATGTTTATTTATTTTAGAGACAGAGAGAGACAGAGCATGAATGGGGGAGGGGCAGAGAGAGAGGGAGATACAGAATCGGAAGCAGGCTCCAGGCTCTGAGCCATCAGCCCATAGCCCGACGCGGGGCTCGAACTCACAAACCGTGAGATCGTGACCTGAGCTGAAGTCGGACGCTCAACCGACTGAGCCACCCAGGCACCCCTTAAATTAACTTTTAATAAGAAAGTGAGGAAACCATCAGGGCCAGAAGCAGAAACATGCCTTGAAGCCATGGGCTGCCCTGAAGTTTGTGCTCATCCAGGAATGTTCTTTGGCCAACTCAAAGGCTTTGTGTAGTAGAGAGTTAAGACTAAGACCACTGCCTAAAGTAGTGCCTGAGACCTAAGCCTGAGACCTGGGACTTCCTGGGACTTCTAAAAGCTACAGCTGCATTGCAGTCAGATCCATCCATAGACCAAGGATCCCAGTGAGGAAGTGTGTTGTAAGGCTCCTGCAGTGAACTACTGGGGCAACAAGAATTTTAATAACATGAACGTACATGTTTAAAAAAATTTTTTTGACATTTAATTTTGAGAGACAGCACGAGCAAGGGGAGGGGCAGAGAAAGAGGGAGACAGAATTTGAAGCAGTCTCCAGGCTCTGAGCTGTCAACACAGAGCCCAATGTGGGGCTCGAACCCACAAACAGATCATGACCTGAGCCGAAGTCACATGCTTAACCGACTGAGCCACCTAAGCACCCCTTTT